ACACACTGGAAGAAGAGTTGTCTTGAGCTACACATTAAGTACATCGTGACACATAATCACACAAAAAATATGTTTTAAGTAAATTTACAATTTTGTGTTGGGCCACATTCATAGCCATCCTGAGCCTATTGTGGCCTGTGGGCACAGGTTGGACACCCCTGAGGGATTCTTTTGCCCCACCTCTCTTTCAAAATGTCCCTTGTTTAAGGATACTAGTAACCTCATAATACTAAATCCAGTGGTCAATTCTCAGTTCTCTTTTTAACTGACCTGACAGCCATATATGATACAGTTGATTACTCCTTTCTCATTGATAAACTTTTTTTTTTTGGCTTCCAAGAAAACTATTGGCGTTCCTCCCATCACACTGGTTTGTCCTTCTCAGTCTCCTTTGCTTATAGTCTTCTGTTATTCCTGACTTCTTATAATTGGGGAGCCCCATGGCTCAGTCCTTGGACCGTCCCCTGTCTACACTCATACCTTTGATTATCTCATCCAATCTCACGGCTGCAAAACTATCAATATGCCAATAACCCTAATTTATGTTTTTAGCTCAGACCTTGTCTCTGAACCTGAAATTTATATTCAGCTGCCTATCTATTATCTCCACTTAAATATGAAGTAGACATCACAACTTAATATGTTCAAAACAAAAGTTATAATCTTTGCCCCAAACCTTTTCCACTAGCAACCTTCTCCATCTCAGATAGTGGCAGCTCCATCCTTGCAGTTGCTCTGGTCATAACTTAAAGGTGATCACCCTGGTTAGTGCAGCTCACTGGATAGAGTGCCAGCCTGCAACCTAAAAGGTCGCTAGTCAGGGCACATGAGTGGGTTGTGGGCCAGGTCCCCACTTGGGGTGTGTAAGAGGCAACTGATCAATGTATCTCTTGCACATCGATATTTCTCTCACTCTCTTTCTCCCTTATCACTAAAACTAAATAAAATCTTTAAAAAATAATAATAAAAGGAAAGCTTAAAGTTCGTTCTTACCTCTTTCCCTCACATACCATATTGAATCTGTTAGAAAACTCTTATCATGTCTATGTTTAGAAAGGTCTACCATTAAATAGCTACGAGCTCTTTTGTAAGTAACTTAACCCCTTTGATCTAGACTAGGAAAAAATCAGTTTTGATCTAAAAATGCAATGGGTCAAACTAGACTGGAGCTGACTGTGCACTAATCTACTAAAGATAAATGGTGAACGAGTATTCCATTGCCCTACAAGCAACATCCTCTGATTCTCAGGAGTCAGATATATGGCAAAAGAAAGCTTTCTGGATAACGGTTACTTTTTTCCCACAGAGTGGCTATCAGAGATTTACTGCATTCTCAGTCAGCAGTTCTCAATTGCTCGTATAAAAGGGCAGTACCATCTCTCCAGAAAATTCAATTTTGCCAAGATTTTTACTCCAACTAATGGACCTCCTGTATGGAGAGGCTACATTTTGAGTCTACTGTGAAATGATAGTACATGTGGAATAAATGATGGAATATCATCTTCTATTTGTGTCCAGACATATGGGAAGGAACCCAAGAGCCAGAAAAGAATGATTGTTTCAATTTTACCATCTCAAAACAGGCCCACCTCATTTATTTTGGTTCCTAGAACTGGGTTCTATGAACAAAATTTGAGGAAGTCAGTAAATAGAGAATTAGTAAAAATTTGCCAACTTCTGATTATTTGCAGTCAGTTAGGATTACACTAAAATATATCTGATCCCTGCTGCTTGTCTAAGGGGCCCTCAGTCTTGAGCTATCTACTAAAATCAACTCAAAGATTCATGATATGTAAATTCTGGCAAACCAGTTTAGTGATCTGTGATGCTCCTTTGAAAAACAAGATGCAAGATGTTTGTAGGTCCTCTAAACTGCTCCCTGCCTCATGTATCAGCAGTGACTCTGATTTTAATGCTGATTGCCTCAACACAGCTCCCCAGCATAGGTGCTTAGTTGTAATTATGATTGCTAGAAGCTCCTCCTTTTCCATTACTAGAGATTAGTTCTTTATACTCCCAGTTATCTTGGATCTTTTTACACAAAAGTTTTCCATCCAGAGTGGTGAAAGGCCTGTTAAAAGGGCTGTTAAAAGAGCTTAACACCTTACCTGATTAAAAGCTTAGCACTTTGAATTTGTTCTCCTATGGAGTTATCATTGCTGTGCCAAGATCACTCTATTTCAGTGGGATTAGAAAATCAGGCCCAAACAACAAAGTGCTTTGAGCTATTAATTAAAGAACAAGTACTATCCATTAAGGAAGATAGTATAGCCTATTGCCTTCTTGGTGGCATACACCTAAATCTCAGCAAATGCTGTCAAACAGGCTTTCTACATTTACCCAAGGAAAATAAATAAATCCCTAACATTCTTGACACTACATTTAGTAGCTTTTATGCTCCTTTACTTACCAGTCACCACAGAATAATAACAGTATCTAAACAGGTGATGACTTCACACAATTTTTAAGTACCACAAATGTAGTCAAGGAAAAGAGTTCTTGTATTTACAGTGTTGCATGTAAGTGCATCAGTAAAGACATTCCTAAGAGTCCATCAATGGACCTAAGGCAGACCTAACTAAGCAAAATCAAATAATATAAAAAGGTAATCTCTTCACAAAAAGATTCTTTACCATCAAATTCCTTTAAATAGTAGATTTCAGAAGGATCCTGAAACAAGATTTTATTCTAAAGTCTTTGGCTTGAAAACATTGCTCTACCTATATGTATGTTCTTGCAAATTATGTACCTATATAGTCAGAGGCTGGGTTATGTTCCATGGTCAAAACTACATGTCTTCACAGCTGCAGAGTCCTTTATCAATAAGAGTCATTCATTCCTAAACCCAGACTTATCTAAAGATCTGGATAAAACAAGGAGCTGGGAGTTTAGAAGTCCAGGTCTTAGCTATCACTCAACTCCAGACTTGTGGTAGGGCTTTAGAAATCCCCAAACTGGCAATTAGGAAATCTTAGTTCTATAACAGTAAATAATAATAACACTATAATAACTACTATTGGGAACCTGTCAAGTGCTAGACATTGTACCACATGCAATATAGATAGCAGATTATCAGTTATCCTACCTTATAAGGTAGAAAATTGTATACTTATTTTAGAGATGAAAAATGAGGTTCTCAGAGGTTCTGCCATGGTCAGGCAGACAGTAGGTAATTGTGTTAATGTTTAAATCCAAGTTTATTTGTTCTAGGTTCATGCTCTTTATATTTCTATCCAACTTGATGACCTTGAATGAGTCACTGAGCCTTACTCAGCTAAGATCTTTCCTTTGTAATATGAGTTTAAACCAAGTCAGTGGTTTTCAACCTTAGCTACATATTTTATTTGTGTGAGGAGCTTTAAAAAATAACATAGAGGCTGTACCCCAGTCTAATTAACCTACATTCATTAGAGTGGGGCCTAGGTATTTCTATTTATTTCTTTGTTTGACTCCAAACTTGATTCTAATGTGCTGCTACAGTTGAGAATTACTGGAAGTGTGTTATCTAGAATCCTTTCCAGTTCTTAAAAACTGAGAAGCTTAAGTCTCAAGAGATTCTAGACCTCATCTCCCCCCCTTTTAACTAAAGTTATAACCTCTCCAGTGTCCATGACTAAGACATTTCAGATCCCTGCTCCCTAGGTTATTTTCTTTTTCTCTTTAAATTTCTCATATGGATCAAAAAACCAATACAGTGAGTTCTTAAAATTACAGACATTTAAAAATTAACAGAAACTTTGTAAGTTCCCTGAATCCCTCTCCCCTTTTATTGACTAAATAGAGAAACTGATTATTCTCAGCCACACTGATAAGACAAACAGTGGTAGCCAAGTGAGGAAGCTACAGATGCTGATACCTAAGGATACTCACAAATCATCTGCTTGTCAACTTGGATAAGAGTCAGGTGTGGGTTTTGACCTAATCTGCAAGTGAGACTCATTTATTTTTGTATGTGAGCTATTATCACTGGTTGTTGAGCTCTCCAGATCTTGAGCTAAGAGAATTATTGTTAAGAGCTCAACGGAGAGAACGGATTACACAAAATAAATCCTCACAGGTCCAAAACCAATATTAGAAAAACCCTTGACCATCACACTTTGTTTTGGAGGGCTATGAACTATAGGGTTTTGCTTGGAAAATGCTTCAATACATACGTGTAAATATCAACAAGAAGCTGGCAGATACAGTGGGCCTCATGTATGAGTGAGTGGGAAGCCCATTTTTTTTAAGGAGAGGGAGAATCTCTCATTAAGTATGTTTTTAATGTCTCTTTATAGCCAAATTTATCTCACTTTAGTTAATGATTTCCCAGACAAATTTACTTTCTCTGCCAGCTTTCATAGTTTCCTTTAAATGCTGCATACTTAGCTCTCAAACTCAGATCTCCATTAAGGAATTTGAGGAAGGGTTCACTGGTATCAAAAAACAAAAAAAACCCAGAAAGGATCATTTGTACTCTGGCTGACATTGTCAATCGAATCATTCTGAGAGGTATAAACATTTTTGTAGATGTTCACTTTATCATTGTCAAATTAATCTTAAAACAGTTCTTTTAGTAAGAATGAACAGAAAGAATATGGTAACTACAAACTGAATTACACAAATTCCAGTGTTCCACTAGTTCTGAGAATTCATCCTTAAACTAGGTGTGATTTCACCCAACTAGCTGTCTTCTTAATAAAAATGACTGAAAACAGCATAGCTGACTTATCACAACAAAAGTAAAGAAGGAAATTAAAGATCTCTGGATGGGACAAACAGGTCTGTGTGTTTATCCTGTAGCCATTATGGGCACAAAACTGTTAAATAAAATGATTTTCAGGTTCATCCGACCAATTTGCTGTGGAGTGAAGGTGAGCACCTTGGGGCCACATGCTTCAGGCACTCTTAGGCAAAAGTCTGGTTGGTACAGTACGGCTATCTCTGGGACACATTAGGTTTCAAAGAGGTCTGTTCCAAGCAAACATTTTAATTTCAAATGTTTTTTCATTTACATTTAGATCTTCCACCCCCTGCAACCCGAGAACGACCACCAGGATGCAAAACAGTATTTGTGGGTGGCCTGCCTGAAAATGGGACAGAGCAGATCATTGTAGAAGTATTCGAACAATGTGGAGAGATCATTGCTATTCGGAAGAGCAAAAAGAACTTTTGTCACATTCGCTTTGCTGAGGAGTACATGGTGGACAAAGCCCTTTATCTTTCTGGTAGGTGTTCAGTCATGAGGATTGTGCCCAGCAGGCACAATGCACAGATTGGGCATTAGTGTATTTGCATCTGTGGCAGCTAAAGTTTGGGCCTAATAGTACCCACTCTTGCCTGCAGAGATTTAAATGCGTGCATGCTACCATCCAACTTCTTCCTTTAGAGTTATTCAGTAGTACCACCCTGGCTGGTGTAGCTCTCAATCCTGGCTGGATTGAGTGCTGGTGTAGCAAACCAAAGGGTCACTGGTTGGATTCCCAGTTGGGGTACATGCCTGGGTTGCAGGCCAGGTTCCTGGTAGGGAGCATGCAAGAGGCAACCACACATGGATGTTTCTCTCCTTCTCTTTCTTTTTCCATTCCCCTCTCTCTAAAAATAAATAAATAAAAATCTTTTTTAAAAGTTATTCAGCAGTTCCCAATTTTCTATGGGATAACTCCAAACTACTTACTTGTAAACAGCATCTAAAGGTCTTGATGATCTGCTTTACCTTTCAGCATTATCTCTCAATCTTTCCCTCACATGTGTGTCCCCAAAACACTAAATTAATTATAGTTCCCAAAATGTATCATGGTGTTTTATACCTTTTCCTCTAACTATTATTACCTTTTCTACCCCTGACCCATTATGCACACATCTTTACACCCTAAAGCTCCAGCCAGTCATAACCTCTTCTGGAAATCTTTTGCTGATTTCTCTCCCCATTCTGCCCCAGGCTGATTTGGGTACCCCTTCCTCAGTGATTCCACAGCACTCACTACTTTCTCCTAACATGACACCTATAGCACCATGCTAGAACTATATCTACATTTGTATCCATCACCAGAGTGTGAACTCTTTAGGGAAAAGGACTGTGTCTTATTTAACTTTGAATCCCCAGTGTCTACCACATAATCTTGAACAAAAATAGATGCTTAAAATTATTTGTGGAAGTCAAATATCTAATATTTGTTGACAGCTAGGCAGAATACTGTGTTTCTGAGGATACAACAAAGACCAAGGTAGACAAGCTTGGAGAGGGAGGAGGAGACAGAGAGAAAGAGATTTCTGACTCTTGGGTTATCAAGAGAGGTAGCATTTGGGCTAAGTCTTTGTCAAAGTCAAAACATTTGGACGTAGACAATGGGGTATAGATACAACATGAACAAAGGTACAAAGGTGGTAAGTTTTGATGAATATTCAAGGAACAATGAGTAGTGGTTTGTGTACTATGTAAATATGAAAGGAGGAAAAACATCAGTTGTGAGCACACTTTGAATGACTTATTTGGGTCTTTATTCATCGGGTAATAGATAATTGTTGAAGGAATCTTTGAACAAGGAAGATGATTGTTTCTGAAAGAGAAATCTGACAGCTCTGTATAAAAATGAATTAGAAGAGAGAAGAGAAAAGAAGAGAGGAGGTCAGTAGACTCCTGTTGCAATAGGCCAGGGAAAAGGTAATGAGGGTTTGAAAAAGTAGACTGGTTAACATGAGAAAAGAGAGGAGGAGGCAGATGTGGAATACTCACATTGAATTTGCTGAAGATTTGACATCACTTAGCAATGATAACAGCATCCTACAATAGACTACTTTAATGAGACTGTAAAGGTTGAAAGGCCCTGAACAGTTGTATGTAAAAGACAGCATGCTGCTCAGGAAGCATCCATCTATATGTCATTGAAATCAGCTCTCTGGTAACTATCACCTCCTGGAAACATTCTCAAGGCTGCCAAACGAAAGGGAATCACAATCAGTGATGTGAAAACAAACTAAATTTTGCCATTTAAATGAAAATTCACAAGTGCTAGAGTTGGATGGCTGTTCTCCCACATTGAAAAAAAAAGGTTAAAACAAAAATCACTTTGGAAAGGGGCTAGAAATGTAGAAATAATAATTGTTTTTCTATTGCAGTTTGAAAAGCTTTGAAAGCTGGCATTGTGCACAGGACACTATCCTCATAGCACCACAGTATTTTTTGTGTGTTTACACAAAGCTTTCCTGTCATCATCTCATTTGATCCTTTCCATGATCCTGGCAAAATAGGCAATATTTAATAGCTCTGTTTTTCTGATGGTTCCAATTATCAAATAAAATGAATAGGTATGAAAGTGAATTGTAAACCAAAAAGGGCCCTAGCAAAGTTTGCTTATGAAAGGTATGTGTTCTTTCTCTTTCTAAAATGAATGTGTGGCAATTTCAGTGTTACTAGACATTATTCTTTATAAGAGTTTTATTGGGGTATAATAATTGACCTAAAATGAACTTCACATATTTCAATAATATAGTTTTATATTATTGACACACATATATCCTGTGAAACCATCACTAGATGGTGAATCACAAAATAGTGAATGTGTCTGCCTCATCCTAAAGCTTTCTTCATTCACCTTTTGTAATACTGTCCTCCTACCCCTCTCAATTGCTCTCCCTAGGCAACCACTGATTTTTATGTATGATTAGTGTACATTTTCTAGACCTTCATATAAATGCAATTATATATTATATATGCTCTTTCTTCCTTTGTATAAATCCATATTTCCATGTGGTATTATTTTTCCTATGCTTGAATTCCTTTAACCTTTATTTATTTATTGATTGATTACTTATTTATTCCCTTTTTGCTGAATTGCACAGGGGTGGCACAGGTTAACAAAATTATACAGTTTTCAGGTTCACAATTCCACAACACATCATCTGTACACTGTATTTTGTGTTCACCACCCGAAGTTGAGACTCTATCCATTACCATTTATCCCCCCTTTACCCTCCTACGCCATCCTCCACACCACTTCCCCCCAGCAATCACCACAGTATTGACCCTATCCATGAGCTTTTCTCTTTTTTCTTTTTTGTTCAATCCCTCTATTCCCTTAAGTCCCCCCAAACCCTCACTCCCAGAGAGCTGTCAGCCTGCTCTCTATGAGTTATCACTATTTTGCTTGTTTACCAAATCCTTTTTTTAATAATGTAAGTCTCCTCCTGGTGGTTTCTTTCAGCATTTTTTCAAAAAAGAACTTATTCTACCTTTCTTTTTGAAAGAAATGTTCTCTGGATATACAATTCTAGCTTGACAGGTACCCCCTCCTTCAGATGTTGCTCCATTATCTTCTTTCTTTATTTATTGTTTTTCGGTTACAGTTGTCCTGCATTTTCCCCATTGTTCTCTCATACCCCATCCCCCTAATTTCCCCAACTCCCACAGTCAACCCCCCCAATTGTCTGTGCCCATGAATACACTATTTGTGTTCCTTTGCTTGATCCTTCCCCCTCTTTCCCCATTATCCGCCACCCCCATTCCCCCTCCCTTCTGGTCACTATGAGTTCATCCTTTATTTCCAAGTCTGGTTCTGTTTGCTCATTTGTTTGTTTTTTTCATTAGGATCTACTTCTAGGTGAGATCATATGGTATTTGTCTTTCACCACCTGGCTTATTTCACTTAGCATAATGCTCTCCAGTTCCATCCATGCTGTCATGAAGGGTAGGAGTTCTTTCTTTCTGCTGTGTAGTTTTCCATTGTGTAAATGTACCACAGTGTTTTTATCCACTCATTTGCTGATGGGCACTTAGGCTGATTCCAGCACTTGGCTATTGTAAATAACACTGCTATGAACATTGGGGTGCACAGGTTCTTTTGAATTGGTGTTTCAGGATTCTTATGGTATAATCCCAGCAGAGGAATTGCTGGGTCAAAAGGCACTTCCATATTTAGTTTTCTGAGGAAATTCCATACTGTTTTCCACAGCGGCTGCACCAGTCTTCAATCCCACTGACAGGGTACTAGGGTTCCCTTTTCTCTACAGCTTCACGAGCACTTGTTTGTTGATTTATTAATGATGGCCATTGTTACCAGTGTGAAGTGGCATCTCATTGTGGTTTTAATTTGCATCTCTCTAATGGCTAGTGATGTTGAGCATCCTTTCATATATCTCTGGGCCCTCTGTATGTCCTTCTCAGAGAAGTGTCTTTTCAGGTCCTTTGCCATTTTTTAATTGGATTGCTTGTCTTCCTGGTTTGGAGTCATGTGAGTTCTTTATATATTTTGGAGATGAAACCCTTGTCTGAGGTATCATTGGCTAATACGTTTTCCCATATGGTTGGTTCCCTTTCCATTTTGTAGATGTTTTCTTTAGCTGTTCAGAAGCTTTTTAGTTTGATGTGGTCCAATTTGTTTATTCTTTCCTTTATATCCCTTGCCATAGATGTATCAGTGAAAATATTGCTGTGTGGGATATCTGAAATTTTCCTGCCTATGTTTCCTCTAGAATTTTTATGGTATCATTACTTATATTTAAATCTTATATCCATCTTGAGTTTATTTTAGTGTATGGTGTAAGTTGGTGGTCTAGGTTCATTTTTTCTTTTTGCATGTACTTGTCCAGATCTGCCAACATAACTTATTGAAGAGGCTATTTTTACTCAGTGTTCCTATCCCCTTTGTCAAATATTAACTGGCCATTGAGACATGGGCTTATTTCTGGGTTTTCTATTCTGTTCCGTCGGTCTATTTGTCTGTTCTTATGCTGGTAATAGACTGTTTTGATCACAGCGGCCTTGTAATATGGTTTGATATCAGGTATTGTGATCCCTCTTACTTTGTTCTTCTTTCTCAAAATTGCTGAGGGTATTTGGGGTCCTAATATGGATCCATATAAATTTTTGAAATATTCTATATCTATAAAATATGTCCTTGATATATAGACTATACTTTCAGGGGTCATTTCTATATAATTCATTGCTCCATTATCTTCTTAATTACATTTTTTCTGACAAGTAATATGATGTTATCCTTATCTTTTTTGTTTTTCTGTGTATAATATGTCTTTTGTCTATGGCAGGTTTTAAGATATCCTTTTCATTGCTGGTGATTATGATGTAATTGGTTGTAATTTCTTGGTGTAATTTTTTGATGTAACTTCTTTTATGTTTCTTATGCTTGGAATTCATTGAAATTCTTAGATCTTTGAATTTTCATAAATCTTGGAAAGTTTTCTGCCCTTATTTCTTCAAATATTTTTCTAT